CTTGTATTTATCGTTGCTTTCGTGCTGTTGTTTTTGGTTTTGTGTGTTGTTGGCTTTTGTTGTTGTTGTCGTTGCCAAAAGCATTCTGTTTGTTTGCTTGTGTTGTGGAATTGTAGAAGCAGCTACCGCACACAGCGCGTCACGTCAGCTAGAAGAAACACACACACACACACAAGCTTATAAATAAGTACATATGTATGTGTTTCGAAAGTGCGGGTGGCCCACGTAGGGGTATAAAGGAAAAAAAAACAACAAATATTTCACTGACGCACGCGCTTTTTCACCGAACCCGATGGCTGTCAAACTGTGGCAACTGAGCCTCAACGTTTCTCGCCTTCGCGCTGCTCGCTCGCCTCGGTTCTCCTTGTCCATTGCCTTTTGCGGTGCTTTTTACAACTTGATGTCTTCATTATGGCATCTTCTCTTGTTGCCTCTCTTTCGTTTCGTGTGTGTGGCTCTGTTTGTGTGTGTGTGTTTCTGTTTGTATGTGCTGCTCAATTATTTCTCGTAAGGTCTGCGCTGTGTTGTAACGTTACAGCGTTTCCTCGCATTGAACTTCTCGAAAGTTGTGGCAGCGATCGGCGCATCGATGCTTGCTGCCTGCCGCAGCATCGCAGTTGGCGGCGAATGTGACTGCGATTGCAGCTGAGGTGTGGTCGTGCCTTGTTGTTGTTGTTGTGTTCGCTGTTGCCGTTGCTTGTTGTTTGTGTTTTGTGTTTTCTGTTTTCTGTGTTTGGCCTTTTGCTCGTGACGGCATCGCCGTCGTCGTCGTCATCGACGATGGGCGATTTATTTTAATGACTCAATTTAACGAAATATATTAAGACATTAATTTTGTCTAACGAAGCCAACAACAACAACAACAGCAAGAGCAAAACTGCTAGTTGCATTTGTTTCCCTCTGTGGCTTATTCGCCGCGTGCATATGCAAATTGTGCTCAACATTATGTTTATTATGTTTCGTATGCCGTAAAAAAGCGAAAAACGAGCAAAGTTCGCCGCACTCGCTGTGAGGTCCCGTCGCTGACGTTTTTATGAATGAGGCGAATTCCAAATTGAGTCAATCGATGTGAGGTGCTGATTTTGTTGTTGTTGTTGTTGTTGTATTGTTCTCGCTGTCTCTTTTGTTGCTGATATTTTAATCATAATTTCTCTTTTTTCGCTTTGCCAATTCTTTGTTTACTTGTGAAAAATACCACGTAAAGTATGCACGACTTAATATAAGGTTGAATGTAAGTTTATTACATTTTAAATAAAATAATATAAATATTTTATATTATATTATAATTATAAAAAA